TCTGGAAGCCAAGGAGAATGGTGCTTTCCTGTTGTTAAGTCGCAAAAGCATCCACCTAACATGTCACCTTAAATAATAGATCTAACTTGTTCAGATCTTAGGGCGCTCTACGTTGGCGACTTCTTCGTCATCGCCAAGTAGCAGTTCATCGCACCACCAAATAGGTCCTCATTCAAATCCAGTGGCCGAGAAATTTAGATTGCCATCAAGTGAAATCGTTTTGCCAGGTGAGGATCTTGTTTTTTGCTTTGTGCTATCAATTAGCTTAAAACTGGTCTTAAAATTTTTTATAAACAACGATTGTAAAGCAGTCCTTAAAAAACAAAACGCGCTACCATGTGGTGCGATCAAGAATACAAAGGGGTGTAGGGGTAATCGAACTCATGATCAGGAGTTCATACAGGCACCATTTTAGCCCAGAGTGCCAGACCCCCGGCAAACCTTTTCCCAGCGTATGTCAAACCTCCCTGCAGGTGGAGAAACGTGCGTCCTTCAACGCCACTAACGAGGACGTGGTTGTAAACTACGTACTGCCATGCACAAATGAGATGAAGGGCTCAAGCCTTAGACTGAACTTCGACATAGGAGTCACCAGTTACGAAAATTGCGGTTCAGAGAATTTCTTTTGACAATTGCTCATGAATTTTTTTCTTTCTGCGTTTTTCTAGGTTGGGAAGAAGGCAAAAGATGTGCTTTGCTTGATAAAGACAAACCGTTCTCAAGTGTTAAACATGGAAAATTGTTTCTGACTCAAAGGTAAACAAATAAAAAAAAAAAAGCTTGTGGATTGCCATGTCTTGTTGTATCATTATTATACAAGATTTACTGATGTATTTCTAAACCCTTTCTCGTTACAGTTATTTATGCTTTGAGAAGACCAGATCATCAAGTGGAAAGCATATCGTTATTAAGCTGGATACTATCATCAGTTTAAGTAAAGTATGTGGGAGGTGGAGCAAGAAACAAATTTTGATTATTAATTAACTGATCAGCAAATCATCCAATTAACTAATCAACCGGTGACTGTGAAATATAGGAAAGTGTTCGCTTGTAGATCACGTGGCTCCATGGT